AAGACACAAACCTTCAGGAAGCATGTACTTTGTTGTGTTACCAAACCTAGAAAAGTATGAATTAAACTGTTCAACTTCTTCTGTAGCACATGTGGCTCCCTCTTGCCAGCGGACCTCCCCAAAGTACCTTTAATGACGTAAAGATAAAACGAATGTTGAATTTCAAAGTAATATTGCATTATTACACCATTTATATGTGATAAAGCATCAAGAAACATGGTATAGTAAGTTTCTCGACTTCAACAAAATTTATTTAAGTTTGAAATCAGCCATTTCCTGAAAAAATATAATGCTGCCCCCAAAATTGAAAATCTCTACAGATAAAAACATTGTACAAGATTCCATATAGTAGCATGGCAGGATCATATAAAATTATTCAGACTAATCCTTTGGATGAAAAACCCAAAATAATTCGCTAAATTGCAGAATAACCCTCCACTAATGATATCATATTGTCTAGCTACTGTTTCACTGGATACGCGGATACACAGCGAGATTGATGTATGGGTAGCTATATATTTTAGTGGGTACGCGCATACATGGATTCTCAGTCTCATTTTTATAAGCCATCACAAACGGTCATAGGAAATTTGCATACCCTATTGATCAGGCAGTTCACTGAGGCAATCAAGCCACATGTTTTGTGTTATAGACATTTTGCTTTGTGGACCTTTTGAAGCATTAAAGACTCTCTATGTCAAATGACTTGATTCTATAAGCTTCAGTATGAATAAAATAGAAACCTTTACTAGTTTTAATTAGTATACACCTGACTATTGTTTATTACAAATCCTACATTCTGATTGGCTACTCAACCATTGCCTATTCGTGATGAACATTTGGGGAAAATTCCCTTGCGCGACCCTATAAAATTGAATTAATTAAATTATTTTTCAGTGTAATTGCGGTGTATCGATTATTTTCTCAAAATTAATATATTTAGGTATAGGGTGTATACTAAAACAATATGACAACTCGCCTTCGTTGTCTATGAGTGACATTCATAGACAACTTGGACTCGCTGTCTAAATGTTAAATAGAAACTATATACTAAAACAAAATCAAAGTCTCTTTGAATCTACTATGTCTGTAGTCATGAATATTCACAAATTTTAGACAATCTCAATAACCAATTGTTATTTCAATCAGTGGCGTAGCCAGCCTGACGATTTTGTCAATTGTGGGCAGTACAAACATTGGGCAAATTCCATGGTTGGCCACAGGGCCATACATTTTCACAAACATCTTGCAGCCACTGGTCAAACATTGGAGGATTTCAGGAATCAACATAGTAGTTTATTTAGATGACGGCATGGCATTGACTTTCTTGAAAATAGAGTCATTTATGGCATTTCTTCGGTTCACAATTTGTTTGGCATGAATAATCCTTGTGATTCAAAACTTGTAAAGAATCTGTTGGAGAGTGCAAAAAAGACTCTGTCTCGGCCCATAACGAAAAAAATATTTTTAAAAAATATACAAACGAATGCTCCAGTTTGGCAGATCTTTGCATAGTGGCTATGTGTGTTACAGCCTTTAATGGGTTTTTGAGGTTTAACAAACTCTCCAGTCTAAAGTGTTCAGATGTTCGTTTTGTTGAGCTCAATATTGAGAAAAGTAAAACTGACGTGTACAGATCGACACAAAGTCTTATTGGCACAAACTTATGACAATTCCTGTCCATACCAAATATTAGAAAGATACGTTCAGATCTAGCAAGTATAAATTTGAGTAATCAGGAGCATTTTTTCAGGAGGCTGCAGTTTTGCAAGTCTTCAAAATAATATAAATTGCGATGCACCATGCATGTAGCTCTGTATGAATGTATCCCAGTTTTAAATAATAGTACTTGCTTGAATATATTACGAAAATATTTATATTCCCGAAAGTACTGAATATTTTAGAATTCTTAAATCTGATCCTGAATCAAATTATATTAGGTCATGAAAAGCTGAACCAGAATGTATTTTCTCATCACAAACTTCACCAATCAAATGCCTTGCATCTATTAACTGGGGTAGGCAGAGTCTAAGATTTTAGAGGTTCAAAGGGTCTTAATTTCGAGTGGAATTATACACACTTCAAATTCAAGCCAGGAACAGTGAAACAGTTGATGGAAAAATGAGTCAACTATAGGTCTTCCAGCAGGAATCGAACCTACACTTTTGCGATGCCTGTTCAATGCTCTTGCCACTGAGCTACAGAGGTAGCTGACAAGAGCAAGCATGGTTAGTGTGTATATGATGGTAATGCTGGGAATAGACGAGGGTAAATCAATTATGATTTTTAGCACTTCACTTTTTAATAAGTATTAAAACTTTTAACTTTTTAATAAATATTAAAATATCAGATTATCCAGTAAGAACATTAATGTAGAAAATTATTTGTGTCGAAAACAATAATTGGGGTATAAGTTCAAGGTAAATGTTTTCTTCTTATCGATTCTATAACTAAGCAATTAAAATCCTGTATTGCTTGTTTGATTGATTTTCATTATCCACCATTAAAAAGTAAACTACTGCATTCATAAATGAAAGTGTGGTATACCACAACTGTTTACAGCCATCTTTACACTGTCACACATTCATATTTTGATATTTGGTAACATGAATGTACTGAGTGTAAATGAGAGAAATGTAGAGTCTCATACACAATCCTGGGTTATTAAAGTCATTATAAAGCAAATATCAGATCAAATGGAAAAGCCATTTGTAAGGCCACAGTGTGAATCATTATAATAAAATCAAACACTGTATCAACAAGGATATCAGCACTCTTTTAAATTACAACTTTAATATAAAAAAAAAATCTGTTTTAGTGCTGACGTACGAGTATCACTTCATGTGTCTTAACCAAGATGTAAAAATAACTTTATCGTTGTATACAGACTGTGCACACCTCTAAAACTCAATTATTAATTCCTTTTCTTTCATATTACGAATTTGATTGTTTTACTACCCGTTGTCATTCGCGTTGCCGCCTTGAATGGTAAGCGGTGGGGTCATTTTAATGATTCAATCAGTATGAGTAATGAGGATTTTGATTTTCAATCTGCAATATTACAAAGCAATGTAAATGTTATATTTGCTCTTTTTCACCTGTAAGAACCCACCCAGGCTTAGCGACAATGTTGTGTGCGTATATGCAGGTAATCGGGGCTGGACTGTAATAGTAAAAGGACAATCTACATGTTTTATAAAATATAAAAACTTTAAAGTTGAGAATAAATGCTGAAAGGGTGAGTGGCTGACGCGCAGAGTTCAAAGACATGTCAAATTTATACGCATATATTGGCATTGGCTGCCTCAAACACAAGTAATGTGCATAAATGATTAATTTTGTTGGAGACTGCCTGGGGTCACACATATAGTTAGGTAATAGTTAGGGTTGATTGACACTATGCAGGCGACGCGTGCAGCAAGCGTAATATGAGAAAGGACGGGATGAGTTTTTGGAAGGCGAGTCCGTGACGAGGAAGCAAAATTGTGAGCTGTTGTGAGTTGTTATAATTAAAGTTAATACTAGAAGTTACTATCGCAAGGAAAGTGCTGCCGAGGAAACTGGAAGCTATTTTGATTCTCATAAGTTAGTACGATGGAGAACTTGATTGTCATTGTATGGTGTTGTCATCGGTAGAATTAGCGACGTGCAGTCACATCAAAGAATATTAGATATTTGAGAGATGAGTTAGATATGTAAAATGTTTATTTACCTAAAATTATTTACCTACGTACATTTATTTACCTAAGATTGCGCATTACAGACATCACAACAAATCACAATACAATGGAAAATTCTGCTTACTGTACATGCAGAAGATCAAATTCTCCAACAATACACACTGTATGTATGTATATTGTACAAAGTTGAAAATACTTATTCTTGAAAAAGAGTTCTTTTGAAGTTCATATTATCATCATAATGAAATGGTGAAATGGCTACATACCATTCATTCATTTAGATTACTTGATAAATTGTGTGTTTTGTTATAAAACAGTCTTAATAACCAATTAAAGGCTATTATTTGTAACTATCAGGTCCATGACGTTAATTTGTTTTCCCAATGATACCACACAACTAACAGATAACAGTATATCCAGTAATGGAATTGTTTTGGCACATAGTTTAACAGATTTAAGGACGTTAATTGTAATTACCAGGTCGATGAGACTAAATTTATTTGCTTCAGTTGTCCAATAATACCATAACGACCATTATGTAACCAGTATACCATGCAGGAGGTCCCTTCCTGTGTTACTGTTTTTTCATTTAATATCATGTTTCTTGACTTTTCTGCACGAATGATTTTCAAAGATGAGTTCACAGTGTTTCCATTATTAAGAGTAATGCAATTGTTTGAACAGCTTAAATTCCAATAATGAGTGATGAGTAATGATGGCATTATTGTTGCTAATCCAGTTACTGCTTCATATTTTTATTGACAACCAGGAATCTGCAAAACAAGATAACAGTTTTTCAGAATACATTGCATTTGCTCTAGCTCGATGAACATTGTAAAGGGGAAGAGAAATACAGATAAAATAAAATGAAAACTTACCATATAACATTGATCTTGATCATCATATTTTCATGCATACAGTAGAAATTTATATAATTATTAATCAAACAATACAGAATACAGTTACAATAGGAATAAAGTCTATTGGGATGCTTTAGAGATTCCCATGTCTAATTTCAAACGCCATCGTTTGATTATTTAAAATGCACTGCTATTGGTAGTCTGTGCTAAATGATCTAGGCGGTATTCTTCCTCAAGCCTGTGTTGTAAACTAGCTGATGATTTCAAGCTGGTTAAACGTTCAAACGTCATGGGTTCAATGACGCAAGATGAAAGAGATCTCACTCTGCTTATGGCGACGTATGAAACACCAGCAGTTTTTTCTGATTTTCCAATATCTATCCAAGCTTTTGGAAGAGTTAGTCCTTGGCTTTTGTGAATTGTAAGAGCCCAGGCGAGTCTTAGAGGCAACTGTTGCCGTTCATGAAACCCAGATTCTGACTGTGACGAGACTGATTGGACATATCGGAACACAAGAAGGTTTGTTCACATTAAAAGCAGGACCTCTATAGTTCTCAAAGTCAACAATGACAGCAATAGGCAAGTCAGGTGGTTGATGGTTGTTCTGATAGACAATATCAACAACTGTTCCAGTAGCTCCATTACAGAGGCCAACACTTGACCATAAATTCATGGTCAACATGACCCTGGCACGTTTTGCTAGAAATACAACAGGTTCCAAACCAGACATATCATCTGGCGACATCTTTTTGGCCAGTGCAGAGGAATGGCGAGCATTGATATGAGCAGTTGGATGTTCAAGTTTTGTTAGCTGTTCATTATTGTAATTTGCAACTTGTTCATTACTATAGAAAAGTCTAGTAGCATCTTGAAAGACGCCTAAATTAATGACATTGGATGGTTGACGTGTGAGAAGTAATTTCCAGTCATCAACTGTTGACTCACCTTTGCGAAGTCGCAACAACAGATCTCTGAACTGTATTTGTTCATGTGTCATACCCTGCACACGTTGATTTACAGTAAGCTTAACAACTTTGTCAAACATATGATACGCTTGATAACCTTGCTCACCAACAGCATTTGATGGGTTAGCATGATAGAGAGGCTTATCTGCCACTGGTGGCAATTGACCTGGATCACCAGTTAAAATCAATGACTTCCCACCAAATACTTTCTGATTATGACCAGTTGCTTGTTTACAACGCTTATCTATCCAACCAAAAGTAACTTGACCAAGCATGGAGTATTCATCAATTATGATGTATTCGATGTTATTAACGCTGTCTTGTAATCTACACAAGCTTTGTCCTGTTAAGTCTTTATTACCTTTTGAGCCTATAGGTAACTTTAACAATGAGTGCACAGTTACACCCTTAATGTTATAAGCTGTTATAAGCTGCTTTAACTCTTTATTTGATCACCCCTGTAATATCCGTCCCTGAGGACGGGTGAATTCAAAATTTAAAAACTTGGGCAAAACGAATACTTGGGACATGAAAATTCTACGACTGAATAGTAAATATCATAATCTTACTTTTGCGTTGATTTCGTAAATTTTCATTGCGTTTTAGGCGAGTTATCGAGATATTTCAACAAACAAATGTCTCACTCAATCATAAAGATGCATTTTGGCAAGTTTGATGCAATGCCTTATCTTTGTAGCGTTGTATCTTCGTTTCTTTTCAGCCAAAAGCCACGGTTTGCCCACCATTTTGTTTATAAAATTCTGCTCTATTTTTGTACTAAATATCATACACCAGATGTACATATTTTTCCTTAAATGTGGGAATTTGCACAAACACTCGGTCGGGCGGAAATCTCCTTCGGGCGTCTTTCGGGCGTCTTTCGGGCTGTATGTTTTGATATGTGTATCCTAGGAAACCAGATGCCCCGGAAATCGAATTTACCGGTAAAAATCATTCAGACGATGTATTTTAGTTGATTTTCAGCCAAACATGGTCTCAGAGGACGCTGAGGCTCATGAAATATTCCGTCAAAAAGGAAAGTTAGTCATTGGGCAAGATGGAATCCTTTACATTAAGAATTTCCATCGGCGGAATAAATGTAGAAAACAATTGTTGGTGCCCAAACTCCTACGCCGCAAAATTCTGAGTCAGTGCCATAATTCATTGCTGAGTGGTCACTTTGGACGGGATAGAACATTAGAACGCGTTCGTGACAGTTGTTTCTGGCCTTCGATGACGCAAGATGTGAGTACTTGGGTACGTGGATGTAATGAATGCAACTGCAGCAAATTACCAACCAAACCTCAAGTAGCTCCGTTACAACCGCATCACATTCCAGAACGCCCCTTTTACAAGATAGCAGTTGATTTTTGTGGCCCTTATGTTGAAACCTCTCGCGGCCACAAGTACATACTGCAAGTCCAGGATCTCCTTACCCGATACATCATGTTTATTCCTACCGCTGACCAGACGGCAATTACAGCAGCCAGAGCTGTGGTAGACAGATGGATTTGTCAGTTTGATATTCCTCATGTGCTCTTAAGTGACCATGGTCCTGCTTTTGAGTCAAATCTATTCAAAGGTGTGTGCGAGGAGTTAGGGATTGAGAAGGTATATAGTACGCCGTATCATCCTCAGGCAAACGGTCAGGTGGAAAGAGAGAATCGTACTGTCAATCAGAGTCTTACAACGCTTGTCAACGACAATAGAGACAACTGGGACATACTCTTGCCGAAGACGTAGTGAAACGCAACACTAAGAAGTGGGAAAAGGTGTATCAAGCAGTTCGTCGCCGTATCAAAAATGCGCAAGAGGAAAGGGCCAAAAACCAAGCAAGATGTAATCATCCTTTTCATCCATATAAACCAGGCGACCGAGTAAGGAAGAAAAACCATACCATGGTACAAGGTTCTTTAAAACTGTCCAAACCAATCAAACCAGATGTTTATGTGATTCGACGGAAGTTGGGTGATGTTAACTACGAGATTATACTCGAAGACAACAGCGGTAAGGAATCGGAACTTGTCCATCATAACCAGCTCGTTAAGGTTCACAAACAAAAGCTTCGGTATGAATGCGAACTTGAATCTGAGGACAAAGGTGATGATCTTCTTGATGAAGAGAACATTGAAAAAACTGCATGTAATCCATTAAGAAAAAGTAAAAGACAGCGAAATCCTGTAAACGTTTTGCAGGTGCAACCAGACAAGAAAACATACTTAAGTCAACCACCTATGGACTAACAGATAAGTAACAATTGCATGCATGTAACTGTTTGGTAATGGGGGTGTAAGAGTTAGCTAGGGTTTCCTGTGGTAGTGAGTGCGCAGATAGTCGGCGCACCTCGAGGTTGGGTTGTTGTTGAATTCTGTAGTTCTTCGAAGAGAGTTTATATAAAAACACCTTATACTTATTTTGTCGGTCTACTACAATTATAAACAATATCTTCTGAGGGATTATCTGTAGGAGGACCTACATTAGAAGAACAATCACTATCTGACACAATATCTTTGTCATTATCAACTGTCATAAGATCTGATGGAACACTATTGTCAGGTAATGAATTTAAAGCATCATAATTAATTGTTAACTCAGCATAATGTGGATTATTGTTCATAGGCCAAACTAAAGCACTGTGTACTTTTTGTTTTCGCACTGTGACATCTTTGAAGGTATTGTCTCTGCCTTTAACTTTAACAATAATAACTGCCAAGTCTTTAGGGTATCTTGGCAATGATGTTGCAAGTTCTTTGACATTTTGTGGCAAGTTAATACAATGGCCTGCATAACCTCGTTGACCACCAGGTTTAATATAAATTCTCGTAATAGGCAAAGCACGAGCAATTAACATTTCCTCAACCTGAGTCAAGTCTTTTAATTCATTTGGAGCATGAGAAGGTATCATGGAATTTTCACAAGAAAATTTTTTTTGAGATTTTTTGTCTCTCAAGCATCGTGAACACTCATAAGCTGACCTTGGTTTAGATTTCAAAGGCCATGCTTCCTGGCATACTGTACATTGACTAACAAAATATTGGACAGCCTTGTGAAATTTGTTAATGTTAGTTTTAGCCCAACGCTGTTCTTCAATACCCCCATTTTCAGTGGTGTCAAATGTATTTAAATAATTTTGTTGAGTTACTTCACATTGAGGTTGTGCCACTGTTTTTTCAAGTCGCAATTGTTTGTTACTGTCAGTTTCCATTGATTTCTTTCTTTTGTAAGACTCCCTTCTTTTGTGAAGTCTAATATGTCTTTCACTCTCAGTTTCCTGTGAATGCTTTCTTTTCTTCAATTCCCTAGCTTTCTGAAGCCTAATTTCTCTATCACTGTCAGTTTCTTCTGACCTCTTCTTTTTTTTATATTCTCTATCACTCTGATGTCTAATTTTCCTTGCATTATCAGTTTCCCTTAGACGGTTTCGTTTTCTAGAATGTCTAGCATTACAAAGAGTAGATTTTGTTTCATGTTTCGTTTCACAAGGCATTAACTCCACAGGTATAATTTCAAATAAATTGGTATGTAGTTCTACAGATAGAAAATATAAGTGTTGCTCCAAATCTAAAACATCATTAAACTTCATGACAACAGCTGTGCCATTAGGATTAGGCATGCCACTAAAGTCTCTGGCATGTGAGTCAAATAAAAAGAAAAAATCTTCTTGCTTTATTATGGCCATCATATAACCTTCTAATATCAAAATAGCACACCTATTTTTCAAAAAAGTATTCAGAAGTGCTGTGTGAATATTAAAGTAATGAGACTCAATTTCTCTATCACTTATGACAAGACCTTGAAACTCTTTTTTATAATTTATAACCCACATTTGATATTAATTTTCTTTGCTATTAGGCTTTGCAGAGCAGTGTAGATTAGAATTACTTTGTGCCTCAACAGGCTCCACCACAATGGGTGGTTCAATGATAATTTGTGCCTCAACGGGCTCCACCACTATGGGTGACTCAATGATAGTTTGTGCCTCAACAGGCTCCACCACTATGGGTGGATCAATAATAGTTTGTGCCTCAACGGGCTCCACCACAATGGGTGACTCAATAATAGTTTGTGCCTCAACAGGTTCCGCCACAATGTGTGGTTCAATGATAGTTTGTTCATGAGAACCAGTAGTTAGTTTTGCAAATTGACAAATTTCGAAAGTAGGCTCATTTTTACCACTCAGAACTAAACTAACAACTGTTGGTAAGTTATCTATGGATAAAAATTCCACACCTGGGTCTAAAACAATTAAACCATTATTCAGAGATTTTAAATACAATTTGTCCCCTTGTAATAAAGCATTATTAAATGTCGATTCAGTCCATTCAGCTAATGGGTTGATTTGGGCAGTTAAAATTGCTGATAAACTCATAAAAGCACATTGCTTTCCCCTAGATTGAACACTAAATAGTTCATCGCCTTGATGTATACTTGCAGAACGAAATATAGCCATACTTACCTAAATTTTTCCGGATTATTTGCTTCGAAACTTGAACACGTTCAATTTAATATATAAATAACATGCGTTATGATGGTATCGCAAAATGTATCGCAATAGCATTTCTGACAGCAACCGCTGAAATTTTCAGGTTTATACTGTAGGAAACATCAGTTACAATTCTCAATCTTTTTTACGTTTTCCCTCGTTTTCTCAATATTAAATTAATCGGTAACTCAGTAAGGAATCACAATGTAAATAACACCTGACAAAATAACCACTGAGAATATACAGCATTTGAAAGAATATTTGAAAGACAATTATGTCATTTTATTCCAATTTATTGCGAATTTTTCAAATGAAATATCTTAACTAATAAGTGGACTTCGATTTTCGGAGAATGGAAGCACCACTTGGAAGCACCACTGTGGAAGCACTAGCAGTTCTAGCAGAGAACAACGATGATCTATATGATCTATATCATCTGTGACGACGTGCTTTATACAGGGTGTATCAGAAAAAACTAGAAGATTCTAAAATGTTCAGAAAACTATCATTTTATCAAGATATCTCAAAAATATATTTACGTCTAAGTATTTTAGCATCTTCTGGCTTATCTAAGAGTAAAAACTAGCAGAAAAATTAACCTCGAAAAGCGGGAGAACGGTTTGTAAAAGCCTCATTTTTAACTGCTTGTACAAAGAAAATGAGACGTTGAAAATCCAGGCTCAGTTAAAGAGGTGAAAGTTTGGAATCTTTTGTGCAATGTATCGCAATTTCAAAAAATTTGATAAACATTAGGTCCGCCGCGAAACGTTTCAAAATTTACTCGTTTACTCC